TATGACGGACATCATCAGAGCGAGGTAACATCATCACAACAAAATTCAGGCTTGCGAGTCAAGAAAACTACTGATAGTCTCAATGTCTACTAAGAAGGAACATAAGTAGTACAATCGTTCGAGGTGACAACAAATGTTGGGGTCCGAGAATTCTTGCATTTTATAATTGTTAATCTCACTTCCATTTCAAATAAATGGTGTCTAAAGAAGAGACTCGAAAGCAGATCTCACCAGACGACACCGGCGGATTTCTACCGGCTGATGCTGTCCCTGAGAATATCTTCTTTAATTACGATGGAAACGGACGTAAGCACATACATGCTACTAGATTGGCACTTGATTTAAGCTAACCGAATTACTTTTATCTCATCAAAATGCATTGATGCATTGTATATATATATATATATATACAGAATTTAGGGCTTTCCTGTTTTGTAAGCATCAACATAGTTGCAAGAATGATTGTATGTTCGGGTGATGTTCGGCATGTGACATTAGAATTCAAGGAGCTCGCACCAGAAACCGTGTCAGCAAGAATATTCCAAAAAATCTAACCGATAGCTGATGGAGGAATCCCCCATCGTCTTCTGATGGGATCTGTTTTCGAATCGCTTCATCACACACTATCTTTAAATTGGAAGTGAGCTCAAAAATTATAAAACATGAGGCCTTTGAAGCCCAACTTTTCTTCGCATCCATTTTTATTCTGCCACCTCAACCGACTACACATCTTGTATTCATTGTGAGTAGACCTTGAGTCAATAAGTGGATCCTGTATAAGAGTTCTGATCACTCTAAATCTGTTTCTTGAAGAAGAGCTGACGGGACCCAGGCAAGGTCGGAATACCATTTTGAAGGCAAAGCTGAAATATTTCTCAAAGTAGAGCTGGCCTCACCTCAAGTCTAACGAACCAAGAAATAGAGGGAAACAATAACCAATTCTACACAAACTTTTCCATATACTTTTTTGAATACTTTAATTGTAAATTCCTTAGTCCGTTAGAAAATAAGTCTAAAAGTAGACTCGAAGAGGCCTGTCGTTGGAGTCGATTCGAATGCCAACCTCGAAGCTAGTCGCCATGACGCCTCAACTGAGCGTCATTAGATCGTCGGTTTACATGAGACGGTCGCCGACTTTTCAAGTGGTTCGACTCTGGTCGAGGTAGAGTCTGAAGCCATGCCTGAATATGAGTACCTCTTAATGGCCCTGAATAGGATACAAAACCGATGAATGTTAATTGATGTTCAGTCTTATTTGTTTCGATCAAACCTTTTTTTAATGTTCCAAGGCCCTGTGAAAACCACAGTTGCCTGGAGCCATTTTAGAAATCCCACGAATGCTAACAGCTTGGAAATGGGTTTCACACACGCCAATAGGTATTTGTATCCGAACTTGACTGCAGGTTCACTCTCGTTTGGGTCTCAACAGCGGGAATCTTATCCGCGTTCTGGCAGTAGAGCACATAATTTCCACATTTTAACTCTCCACCAGACTGGTACGAATTTCAATCGGTTACAGGGCAGACATGAATTGCTTTGCAAGCTAGAATGCTCCCATTATTTTCTTTTAAAATGGGCTTGTCGTTAAGTTATTATATATATTCGCCATTAAAGTCTACAACGGTAATTGTATTTGAAATAATTAGGATTTCGAGGCCACCTTTAGATCATGAATGAGGCTTTAGTCAACCTATGCTACTTAAGGTGGTAAAGGACTTATAGGAAAACTTCCCGCAACTTCACCGTGAGGCATGCTTATCTCACAATGTGAAAATTTACTGTCGGTTCTTTATCTATTTAAGCGGCCCAGGTTGACTAAAGCTCTAATTATAGGTCTAATAACTGTCTCGATGATACTACTACTTCTAAAATAAGTAGATTTCAAGATGATCAGAGATTTTTTTTATTTGACTACAAAATGCTTTGTTGATAAGCAAATTCGTAGCAAATATTGTAAGTTTTCTGTTGTAGATTCATAATTAACTTACGAAAGAGAGATAGCATCTCAGTTAAAACATAGTGAAGACAGTAATAATAGTGAAATTTCCTAATGTTTCGACAGACTCTCTCTCTGATGGTGAATGTGGCCTTATCAACAATGCCTTAATGCAAAAATCCACACACTTTTACTTCCTCCCTGTCTGCAAATCCGGGCGTTACTGTAAGAGTTTCTGCTCATCTTTGAGACATCAGAAGCCAGATATAAATGTCTGGGAATCGAGACTGCGATACGCGAATTAATGGAAGTCTCATGTCTTGACGACAAAGGTCCTGGTAAACGCTACATGCTTTAAAAGATTTTATGGCTACATATTTGAGTGTAAAGATACTCTGGAGATAAAGGTACCTCACGGTTTAAGTGCCACTGTCGTGAATTCCTGTGAATCCGAACGAAGCTAGCCAAGGCCCAGTCTGATCACGTTGACTAAGAGCAAAATGTCGAGAGATATGAAGAAGTCTACTCTTTCTAAATGCTCTGATATTGTATTATATTAGCGTGTCCAAGGCTTTTGCCAAACTGTGGCAACATGTCAGAAGTTTTGGTTCACTTATTTGAATGTCTTTCATACAACAATCCTGCAGTATTCTTCTTCACCTCAAGGTGCCTCGTAAGATAACATTGTTGTGAGACCCACAATTGGTATGAAAGTGCAAGAAAAAGAGGTTTTTAGCTCGATTCAAACGGAAGACA